CTCCCATCGTTGTTGTTGGTGTAGTTATATGAGGATTTAGTATATTACATTATGAATGATTTAAACAATCAAATGTGCAATAAAAATACGTTTACCTAAGCACGGATTGAGGAATAGGAGAGCTCAGTCGAATCCATTACATTCACTTACGTACTAATACCCTTGGGAAAGGTATGAATCCTCTTCTTCTCTTGCCCCCCAGCTATGGTTAAATAGCAGGACAGGCTACGATAGGCCAGATGCCTTGGATGTATCACGCATGGCACATAAATGACATTGACCGAATAGTTAGAGTTTAATGTCGGCTGAAATTTATAGTCTTTTTGTTAAATGAGGTTTTAGGCTTCTTCAGTTCAGTTATCGCTCTTTCTAGTATGTTCTTTAATGTCTCTTTTTGCTGCAATAACATTTTTTTATCCTCAGAAAATTTTTTTTTTTAAATTCTGAACGAAGTCTAAGTGCTTTTAAAAATGGCGATGTCCTTTGAAGGTTCTAAAAAGGATTAAAATATATAATTTAATAATAAAAAAAATCCTTTGGTCTTTCCTCTTAATAATAATGTAGTATCTTATGTAAATTAGATAGACAAGTGTAAATAGGGAACAACTGGCGAACATGGGGGACAGGAATACCCAGAAAAACCGGTTGCTATTCAGGACACGGAGAACTGTATTACGACTACTACTACGCAGAGGGGTATGAAAAATATAACATATAACAAAGATTTTGATGATAAAACTTTTTTTATTAACTTTGGGTAATTTTTCAACGTGTATGCTCATTTTTAGCGAATTTTTGGAGGTATTTACATGTATTGTCCCCGAAGTCTTCCATCGGAGGGGGTGGGCTTTAGTAAGCGTGATTGGGAACCCCGGGCTGTCCTGTTATCTCCTGTTAATTCACCTCTCCAAGTTCTCCACTGCCTTAACTTAAGTGGAGAACTTGGAGAGGTGAATTAACAGGAGATAACTGATAACTGAGATCCATTAGACATGGCACGTGGAACTAGAACAGTCTACCCCAGCGAGCGAAATAAAGGGTTCAGCTCGGCATTTCAACCACCTGAAGAAGGCCGGGGAGTATAAGGGCCGAAACGTTGTGAAAAATATGACAACAAAGATGAGAACAATAGTCCGAATAATGTAAATAGTGTACATAATACCTCATCTCAGAAATATAGACAAATACTGTACTTATTTTCAATTTTTCTAGTTGAATTGTTCACCTATATTGCATATAATGCATTATTGTACATAATTAGGTTACAATAAAATGTGTCTTGTATATGAATCCTACCTTATGAAAATTGAGATGCAGTAGAATGATTGGGCTCGTATAGATTCGCAGAGGGGGGAAGGAGACCCTTGCACAGGCCCTGCCTACATATACATTACATAGGCAGACTACGTGACGGACAGATAATCACGATATAGAATTCCTGGAATACTGTGCGAGCGATGAGGGTGATATTTTTATTTATTTATCACTATTTTTTTTCTTTTGAAATTTTGCTCCTTAACCCCGCTACAGCAGTGGACGTCACAAACTTCTGAGCATGCACATTGCTAATCAGGTTAAAGACCCTTATCATTCCACGTGGGGGTCATTCCCTACTGTCAACTGCCTTCCCTCGTGTCATCCGAATGTTCACGGAAGTTTAACACAGATATAATTTCATAAAACCTGCTGCTGTCAAAACAACAGCTGTACCGCCAACGAAGCTTTCATCAGATGATGACCCGGCCGGTCAAACGTGATTTCGGGTCCGAAGAATCATATACTGGGATTAGAGTTTTATTTTAAAGACTTACTTCATTCCGCTCCCCCAGTCTTTCTAAAAAAAAGACAGAAATGAAAATAAACCCTCCGCCATATCCCAGTCGGGTTCATTCATTTGGTGTTTACTTTTGGAAAAATGAGATGGACTGACCGCTTAAAATTGAATTATCCAAACAAAGGCCGATCATAGCCGTTCTACCAAAAATCCCTATTGAAGAATCAGCTGCACTCAGGTCAGTTGTAAATTAGGAGCGACTAGGTCACGTGACTGACTGGTGATCCTGGTGATTCTCGCCCTTGTTTTTGACCCTAAATGTTTCAAATGTTGATTTTCAAAATCAGTTATGTTCATATATTTATACAGTGTAACCCGGATATAAGAGACCCGGATATAAGAGAAACCCGGATATAAGAGAAATTTTCTCTGGTCCCAAAGTGTTCCCATACTTACTTAAACAAAATAGACCAAACCCGGATATAAGAGAAATCCGGATATAACGGACTTCTCCGGTCACGACAACTCTTACATCCGGGTTACACTGTATTTGTACAATCTGTCGCATACATTTTTTTGAGTAGAAAAACTTAACTTTTTCATCTTTTTTCTTTCATCTTTTCCTTTTTTTTTTTTTTTGCTACTTCTTTCTGTTTATTTCTTTTTCTTTGCTTTTTCATTCATTTTCATTTTTTTCTGCTTATTCTTTTCTTTTTTTTCTTTCTTTTATTTTTTCCTTTAATTTTTCGCGTTTTTTTCTTATTTTTTCCTTCTTCTTACTTTTCTTTTGTATTTCTTTTTCTTTTTAATTTCATTTGCTATTTTTTCAACTTTTTCTTTGCTGTTTCATTTTTTTTCTTTCTCTATTTCCCTTTTCGTTCAATTTTCTTTGTCTATTCTTTTTTTTTTCTTTCATTTTTCTTTGTCTTTTCTTCTTTTGCGCTTGTCTTTTTTGTTTCGACTTTTCGTTTTTCTTCCATTTCGTTTTATTTCAATTTACAGTGTAACCCGGATATAAGAGAGTTGTCGGAACCGGAGAAGAAGTCTCTTATATCTGGGTTTTTCTTATATCCGGGTTTGGTCTATTTATATACATTAACACAGGCTCTAATTTGGGACCAGATAAAATCTCTCTTATATCCGGGTTTCTCTTATATCCGGGTCTCTTATATCCGGGTTACACTATTTTATTTTTTCTTTGTTTTTATTTATTTTATTTTCTCCGATTTCTTTCTTTTCTCTTTTTTCCTTATATCTTTCGTTTTTCTTTTTTTCCTTTTTTAATTCTCTTTTTATTTTTTCTTCTCTTTCAGTTTTTTCTTCTGCTTTTTTTATTTCTCTGTTTCTGTTTTATTTTTATTTTTGTCTTTTCTTGTCTTTCTTTTCCTCTTTCTATTTTCCTTTTTTCTTCCTTGTTCATTTGCTTCTTTTTCTTCTTTTTCTATTATTTTGCTTTTAATTTTCTTTTCCTCTCCTTTTTTCTTTTTCTCTTCCTCTTTTCTTTCTCTTTTCTTTCTTTTTTCTTTTTCTTTTTTCTCTCTTCTCTTTCGTTTTTACTTTTTCTTTAATCTGTAGTTCCATTTTTTCTTTTACGTTCTCCTCTTTTCTTTTTTCTTTTTACTTTCACCATTTCCTCTCTTACTATTTTTTCTCTTTCTTTCTTTCTTTTTTTCTCTTTCTTTCTTTCTTTTTTTCTCTTTCCTTCTTTTTTTTCTCTTTCCTTCTTTTTTCTCTTTCTTTTTTCTCTTTCCTTCTTTTTTTCTCTTTAATTTCCTTTTCGATTTAAATCTTATTCATTCGATCCCAGTAGAGTTTAATTTGCCTCCTCAAGGACCCTGTTTAAAAATAATTCCGGATGTAGTTTTATTTTAAAAAGATGAAATAAACAAGGAATCTGAATAATTCCCCGCCTTCCTAACGAAGTAGAGTTCTACAGATTTTTGCAAAGTGCCGATATCTGCGACTGTCTCTCGTAAATCAGATAAAACGGCACCAAGTGAACAACATTATGACATTTCAAAATGGCGGCACGGGTGAAGAAACTTCATGTTCATACTTCTGGAGAACCTTTCGATATTTTTACACATTTCTTTTGGCAGGCAAAGCGGCTTAAAGGTCAATGGCACACGGAATGAAATTCAGCAAAGTGAATTCAACATTCGGCAAAGTGAGAACAAAATTCGGCAAAGTGGGTTCAAAATTTGGTAAAGTGATTTAGAAATTTGGTAAAGTGAGTTCAAATTCCGGCAAAGTGTGTTAAAAAGTCAGCGAAGTTATTTCAAAATTCAGCAAAGTAAATTCAAACTTCGGCAAAATGAGTTCAAATTTCGGCAAAATGAGTTCAAAATTCAGCAAAGTGAACCTAAACTACAACGCGTCCTGGGTATGACAATAAACTACATCCACGTCCTGGGTAAGACGATAAACTACGTCCAACAGCAAGGCCTCTGATCAGGAGGTTTTGAGGAGTGTGGAACCACCTCTTAATTGCTGGTGTTCCCAGGTCCACCCTGACCCGGGGTGGTAAAGCTATGGGCAAATAGTTAACCCCGAAACTGAGGTAAAAATCAGTATAAAAGTGTAAAATATAGGCTTTAATACTAGAAATACTTTGTAAAAAATTATTACCAGAAGTAAATTTTTGAAGGAAAAAAACTATTACCAGCAATATGTTTTTGAAAAAAAAATTTTACCAGCAATACGTTTTTGAGGAAAAAAATATTACCAGAAATAGATTTTTGACAAAAAATATTACCAGGAAAAAAATTGTCGGCATTAAATAACCCATTGAGGTTGATATGCCGTTAAACAAAATAAAATAAACCAATCTAAACCACAGAATACATATTCTATTCATACGAATCTATCCTAAAAAAAATTGTCATTAAATAACCCATTGAGGTTGATATGCCGTTAAACAAAACGAAGCAAAACAAACCAATCAAACTAGAACAAAGCGAGTTCAAAATTCAGCAAATTGATTTCGAATTTTGGTAAAGTGATTTCAAATTTCCGCAAAGCGAGATCAAAATTCAGCAAGGCATGGTAAGGCATTTATAAATTTCCTCATTTAGCTAAATTAAAGGGTATTTGGGACTTGGATGAATATCCATCTTGGACATCGAACTAACACACCGGCTCCGTATAATTTCACAACTGCCGTAAAAGTTTGGTCGAAAAAGAAAGACGACATTAATTGTTTCATTTGTGTTTAAATAACGTGTATTTAATTAATGTAGAGAAAAACTGAGATGGATAGATAGAAATTGGAACACATTGAGATAGATAGATAGATAGATAGATAGATAGATAGATAGATAGATAGATAGATAGATAGATCTTACGATTCAGGGCAAGTAAATTTCTCATGGGAGATTGGTTTGTCCACTTCTCCATTCACCTATAAGAGAAGCTGGTTGGTGATCGGGCCAGTTGAAGAAATGTCTGTATTGACGCTGTTTAAACAACAGAAGTAAGGTTGGTCCTGCAGGCAGTGGAACAGTGTCGAAGACGTCACACACAGGATTGTCCTTCTGCTCTCATGTAATTTTTGTTATGCCCCATCTGCGAAAAAACGTGCCGTTCCCCTGTTGGCCCAACCAACCAAACGAGAAGCCAGTTACCGTGAAGGGAACTGGTCAACTTCTTAAAAGAAAGTCTACAACAACAATAATAATAAAAAAAAAAGAGATTTTACTGCCAAAAAGGTGACACTTGCTAGAACGTAACGGTTTTGACAATTGTAGTGCGATGTTGACGTACCATCTTGACGTTTTGAATTGAATAGTGCGCACCACGCGAGTTGTTCACATTTATACACATTTGCTTCTTTCTTGGGGGGCGGGGGGTAATGTCTGAATCCTTGATGAAGAAACAAATCGAACGTGTCATGTTCGCATCTGCACGTTCTTTTTTCTTTTTTTTTATGAAAAGATGGATTTGACAGCTTCCCAAGTAATTTACCCGACCTTAATCATGTGCGCTTCCTGAAGGAACGTCTTGAAAATATCTTCTTGCATTTCTCCAGAGACTGGCACCATTTGGGGCAGCACGGGTGATAGGCGAAGGTTTATTCGAATTAAAAGGTAGACATGAAAATGAAACCCTCTTCGTGCGTTTCAATAAAGGTAGCGATTGTTACCAATGGGGAATAAATTCATCACACGTTCATTTGGTGTGGCTTGCACCCACAAAGATTCGGCTTTATTATTACATACCGTTACGTATACAAAGAGAATTTACATCGACATATGCGTAAATGTTTACATAATCCATAATATATATGTGAGTGTATGTTTGATAATATGCATGTATATTGATTGCTATTATATATACCTACGTATATTTCTTGTCATATAGCTATGAGTGAGTGTATGTGTATACACACACTCTGAGACAAATGCACTCACACACTCTATATGTGTGTATGCGTGCGTCCGTGCATGTGCGCATGTATGTTTTTATTCAAATGTTGTTTTTTTTTATATTTGATATGACTTTTGTTTATTCACTTAAATTCGAGTTTATTAAAAAAATTCAAAGCACTTAAAAATATCGTGTTTCCCGCCATATAAAGCCCTACTTTTTTTTATTTTTCCTAAAAATAACATTCCCCCAAAAGTTGACCTGCGTCTTGTATTCGTTAATAGAAGTTACCAATAGCAGACTAATACCTACATAACCTATTTCTCCCCGCTTGATCCCAGAATTGTATATATATATATATATATATATATATATATATGTGTGTGTGTGTGTGTGTGTGTGTATCCGACTCCACCACAACCACCTTCGGTTCTTCGCTCTCTATATAACTACCCACCTCTATTATAGTCCAATTCTTACTCCATCTCCTTTTATTCTTTCCTTCTTTCCTTCCTTTGCCTTTCAAATTTCCTGTGAAGAAATGTGAGATTTTATTCATTTTAGTAAATGTAACTGCAATGATAAGTCCAAGGAAAAACTACTTCACCATGGACGAAATGATCATCTGTATGAGGTAAATTGTTTGGATCTTATTATTATTGTTATTCATTTTATATATATATATATATATTATATATATATTCAGGCCTGTAGGCGAAAATAAATAATTATACTGATTAATAAATAAATAGAACGTCTACTCAAATACGAGTATCAACTAGTTTAAGCAATAAAAAACTGTTGGATTAAAAAATGAAAAATCCATCCCTTTTTATTATAAATTGCTTTGTTTACGTTAAGATACAAAACTGCGAGCATAGATAGATAGATAGATAGATAGATAGATAGATAGATAGATAGATAGATAGATAATATTAGTGGTCACTATATATATATATATATATATATATATATATATATATATATATATTTCAAGAGGATAGAATCCAGATAGAACTCAATGTCCTGGACATAGCAAGAATATAATATAAAAGGCTCAAACGCTAATATTCCATGGTTATAATTTATTACATTGGAATCGTAATCAAGATCCAATTCATCAAACCTACAAATTCAATTCTTTTTTAATTAAACTATAACCATGAAATATTAGTGTTTGAGCCTTTTATATTATATATATATATGTGTGTGTGTGTGTGTTTGTGTGTGTGTGTAAAAAGTTCAGAGAAATTATATCTGTAAAGGATAATAAAATGATAATAAAAGTAAAAATGAAAAAACGTGCTAGCTAGCCGGTTGGTACGAAACCGGTTAGCTAGCCTGTTTTTTCATTTTACTTTTTATTGGTAATAATAAAACTAATTTTTGTCTTTCCATGGCAGTGATAAAATTTTGTACCATATATATATATATATATATATATATATATATATATATATATATATATATATACACACAATCTGAGAATATATATACATATTTAAAGATATTTTTGGTGGTGCAAAATTATATATATATATATATATATATGCGTGATTGCATGAAGAGTTGCTTGTGACATTAGATTTCACGCTTTCAGACAAAATGATGATATTTTTTCAAAAGAGGAGATGCTGTGGATTAATGGTTAGCGGCACGGATTGAGGAATCGGAAGGCCGAGTTCGAAATCCAGTCGAATCCATTACATTAACTCACGTCCTAATACTATTGGAAAGATGTAAATCCTCTTCTTCTTCCCCCAGCTATGGATAAATAGCAAGACATATGGCAACTGGTCTACCGCATAAAGAAATGGCAACCTACTGCGGGAAAAGTCTACCTCGTCAGTTATGTATCAAAAGATTCATGTTTGCCTAAGCCTGTATCACGCATGTCACATAAGTGACTGATATATTTATGCTTTATTTTGTTTGATATATATATATATATATATATATATATATATATATATATATATATATATATATATATATATATATATATATATAACCCTGCAAAAGTATTCGGATTTTTCGTTTATTTCTTTAATGTTTTTATTTTTTCATATTTTTTTCATTTTATTTTTTGTAAATTTATAACGAATGTTTTGTCTTTGTGTGTTGTATATACTTTCCTTGTATACAAGTTCACTTCTATCGGGGGAAGTTGAAATTGATATTAAGTTCAAGCCGAGGTGGCGGACGGCATCCCCCAGGCATTAACACTCCTTCGGGCAATGGCTGGGGTCATTGGCGGCTGTAGCGTCTCCAAAAGAGGATGTACCGAAAGGGGTTTGAGCAATTTTTCCACGGTATTGCCGTTAAAACCGCTTTCAACTGACCTAGTGTCACATTCTCTTGCGACGTGAGAGCACTGAAGAAAAAAAAAATCCTCCTCACGTGTCGCTTCTGAAACCCAAATCATCTGGTGTCGCTATCATGTCGAAGAAATGCTCAGTGACACTTGACTTGTGCAGAGTTCTCAGAAAGTTCCAAGATCTTTATCATTTTACCAATGTGTTTCACACTTTCCGTCCGCCCGAACACGCTGACGCAGCAGCTTCGCCAACATTTCGAACACAGATACATAACATATATATATATATATATATATATATATATATAACTATGCCCTATTTATCCTCTCTCCTGTTTCTCATTCGAACGTTCTCTCTTTTATTTGTTCGATTTAGCCAATAAAATACTTATTGTCTGTAAAAAGATGTATATTTCTTTTACTAGTTCAATTTCCTTCTTTTCTCCAAACAGATGTTATTCACATTCTGGGATGGATCTTTTCTTACGCCCATTTGCCTAACAGATGTTGTCCTGGGGAAAAGAAATTGACTCAGTTTTACCGTTTAAATAGCCATCAACTTCTTAATATTGCCTTGGGGGTCCCTTTACAACTACCGTTAATGTCATTTTTTTTTTTCAGCAGTTCTTTCAAAAATTGCTTTCATAAATCGCTGTGACTGTCTGAGCCATAGATAGATAGATAGATAGATAGATAGATAGATAGATAGATAGTGACTAGACTGGTATGAAGATAGATACATACATACATACATACATACATACATACATAATGATAAGACTGGGATAGATAGATAGATAGATAGATAGATAGATAGATAGATAGATAGATAGATAGATAGATAGTGACTAGACTGGTATAGATAGATACATACATACATACATACATACATACATACATACATAATGATAAGACTGGGATAGATAGATAGATAGATAGATAGATAGATAGATAGATAGATGATAGATAGATAGTGACTAGACTGGTGGTATAGATAGATACATACATACATACATACATACATACATACATACATAATGATAAGACTGGGATAGATAGATAGATAGATAGATAGATAGATAGATAGATAGATAGATAGATATGATGAATGGTGACTAGACTGGTAGAATAGATACATACATACATACATACATACATACATACATACATACATACATAATGATAAGACTGGGATAGATAGATAGATAGATAGATGGATAGATAGATAGATAGATAGATAGATGAATAGTGACTAGACTGGTATAGATAGATACATACATACATACATACATACATACATACATACATACATACATACATAATGATAAGACTGGGATAGATAGATAGATAGATAGATAGATAGATAGATAGATAGAGACTAGACTGGTATAGATAGATACATACATACATACATACATACATACATACATAATGATAAGACTGGGATAGATAGATAGATAGATAGATAGATAGATAGATAGATAGATAGATAGATGAGATGGTGACTAGACTGGTATAGATACATACATACATACATACATACA